TCATCGGACTCTAGGACAGGTATTTTGAATGCTACAAACGAAAGAATGTTGAACTCATTGATTTATTTATAAGCATAGTGCAAGAGAGCACAAGGGTCATTTCAATAATTCGGTGCCTTTGGAGAAGTGTAACTTCGTCAAATATTTTTTTTGTTTTCACCATATTTTTTCATTCTGTCATAAAGAGCACATGTTCAACTTCATAAAAACGTTTTTTCCCATCTCAAGAGGTTATTAACAAAAAAAAGACTATTAAGTGCCAAAGAAGGTAACAGAGTTGACGATTTCTTCTTAAATCAGCCATTAATCCCCTTTGTGACAGGGGGAATGGAAGCTTGTTGTGTGCAACAGGGAGTGCCAATTGAATGCAAGTGTCACAAGAAAAAATATGTAATTGATGAAATATTTCTAGCCTGTCTATGTGTAGAGTTATGCTCCACCCACTCAGTTTTCATTTTAGAGACACACTAATCCAGAGCAATTTACAGTAGTAATTAGGGTTAAATACATTGCTCAAGGGCACATCAACAGAGTTTTCACCTAGTCAGTTCAGGGATTGGAACCAGCAACCTTTTGGTTACTGGCCCAATGCGCTTAACCACTAGGCTACCTGCCACCCCGTTTTGTGGTCTTTTCCATCACAAAATACCAGAAAATGACCAAAAAGAGTAGAACCAGCTCACCTGCGTTTACTCTGTGATTTGACTATTAGATATGTTATTTTTTTAAAGGAATAGTTTCACCATATTAAAACGTTCAGTTCACTTAACAGAGTTCAGTTCACTTAACAGGGTTTACCTTAAAATGAGCAACAGACTTAAATGAATCACACATGAAATAAATAATAATCTTCAGAAATGACTTTTTCAAAGAAAATAATTACTAGGGCTTTACAACGATAGTGAAACTTGGAGAAATGTTGGGATTAAGTGGGTTAAAATCTTCCTAGAAGTGACACAGAGTTGACAGAGGGACATGTCAAAATACCAATTTTTTCAATTTAATATTGGTGGACAATTTCTACTTAAAATATCAAAGGGACAAAAAAAAGCATAATGCATCATCATTTTGATAGTTAGGCTACTGTAGGCAACATTAAACCAAGTTCAGTCAAACAAAAATGTAACTTGCACTGTCAGACAAGGATCGCCAACCAATGCATAGGCTACCTCTCATTTGTTGGAGTTTCTTAACCATCAGAATTCCACAATTAGAAACATAACTTCTACCATATCAGAAAATGTAATTTTTTAGGAGTAAGAATAACTTACTATATAGTGAAGTGAATTTGCTAAAGATGTACAAAATGGCAACACAATTAGCCTACATAAGATTAAAGGTCTTGGTACTGTATGGTTGCCCTATCCCCCTCTTAAAACCTAATTTGATCAGGTGTTGTGGCACACCTGACATTTAAATGCATCTGTGGCGTTTACAGGTGAATACAATTTTCATGAACACAAGAAAATTGCCTTTAAAAGCTACATTGTTGACAGCGCTCAACAACATATGATCGGATTGAATCCTGGATTGAATCTCATATTTTTGTGCTTTTCAGTTCAACACTACATTGTTTAACCCAAAATGAATTAGTTCAGATAGTTGATATTAATTTATGATAGATATGAGGCAATGGAATGTAGATTTATATCCTTGTTTGCTTACAGAGTTTATATCAATACAAACAGCACAGAAGGGCAGTTCCTCTTTCCAAATAGGTCAGTTTTTACCCAGCTAGCACATTTGGTTCCTTGGAAGTTCTGGCAACTAATGTTTTTAGTTTCAAATTGGTTGTGGGAACGAAGCCATACATTTCCTGACCGGTAAAACTGAATGTTTTTCACTTGTTCTGATAACATTTATTTTTAGGTTGCAGGGAGGTTATGAGAACATTTTACTCTGGTTCCTTGAAAGTGTTCCTGTGAGGTTTTATTAACGCCAAGATAATGGAAATTATAGGTTCTTTGGAGGTTTTTGAATAACTTCCTTAACATTTTCACTGAATGTTTCAATAAGACTTTTATAACACTTCTATCTTATTTTGGGTTAACTTTATTTTAAACTCCAATCACAGATAGGACACATGGAAATTAATTTCTTCAGGTATTAAGCATGCAAACACATACATTTTTGTGTGTGACACAGCAACAGTGAGATTCAAACCTATAATCTTCTGTTCTCTCTATATGGAATTAGTCCACTGCACCACCAGATTGGAGCTAGCATGCTATGTTGTTTTACGCATATGAAACGCGCACTTATTAAGATCACTTGTGGCCAATTAGTGGGCATGGCCAACACACCTGCTCAGTTGGTAGAGCATGGCGTTTGCAACGCCAGGGTTGTGGGTTTGATTCCCACGGGGGGGCAGTATAAAAAAAAAAAAAAATAAATGTATGCACTCACTAACTGTAAGTCGCTCTGGATAAGAGCGTCTGCTGAATGACTAAAATGTATAGAGGATAGAGAGAGTTTTGTTGATGCTGAGAACGGAATGTATATCTTTTTAAATAACATTCTTAGAACGTTCTGTGAACAATACTTTCGTTTTCTTGTGGTTTTTTAGACTTTGACTTTACCAATCAACATCCATTTTCTCATGGGAACACAGAGTGTTGGTCTGGCTAAGATGCAAGTAGCCCTGGCCAGACAAACAAACACCCTGCTTCCAACACACATTTTCACTTAGCCAATTTTGACTGTGCAGCTTGGCCATATAGTGGGAACCCAATAACAATGCACTTATTACATACTTCCTTACGTCTGTTTTTCTAAAGAAGTAATGTATAATTAACATAATCTATACCAAACATTGAGGTTGAGTAGGGAGAGTGAATAGACCAGGCTAGACAGACACGCCATAAGATAAACAGCACGCCAACACTTCACTATTACATTTTAGTAGACGCTCTTATCCAGAGTGAGTGCATACATTTTCATATTGGCCCCCCGTGGGCAACGAACCCACAACCCTGGCGTTGCAAGCGCCATGCTCTACCATCTGAGCTACAGGGGATCACCATAATGACAAAAACAGAAGCTGCTCTGTTGATTATGGTGACTTTGTAGTATTGGGGAAGTAATGCAGCATCTGGGTCCCAAGGATTTTTTTCCCCTTCATATGATACCTATTCTGGTTCCTGTTGCTATCCTTCCTGTTCCGGGGGCACCACTCAGACAGAGGGAGGAGAGGAAGGCCACAGCGGAGGAGGGCTGATAATGCTCACTTCTTGGAGCTGGCAATGTCTATCAGAGAAATATGCTCAGCCTCAAAATTGCTTCGAATATTTCCAGTGTATTCCCCTAAAACATTGGGCACCTTCCATATGGTCTTTATTACAGTCACACTGTGCAGATGATCAGATCTAATAATGCTGTGTGTGTAACATCTCAGGAACTGCACTGATAAGATAAAGACGACCTGGAACATAACCATTGTTTTGTACTGCTAACATCCTCTCATACTTATAGCCGACACACCGCAAAGACAAAAAGCTCAAAGTAGTGGGTGTCCACGGTGTGTTAGCGATCACCTGCTGGGTGTCGACAAACAGTGGCTGTTTGTGCTGTTTCAACATGTAGAATTGTCGGGAAATGAACAGAAAATGATGGCCAAAATTCTAGTCAGAGGCAAAAGGACAGACATGATCACCGTAGTTTACATGGCAGATGAATGGGTTTGTTCTACACAATGCATTTGCACCCTCCTGAACAGGTCCCTGGACATCCCATAATAATGAACCGATGTTTATTCGGAAAAGGGTGGGTGGTGCCAATGAGGGCTTGGCCCCCTACTGCAGTCAGTCAGTCAGTCAGACATATTCACAGCATGCAGCCGGGCAGAGGTTGATTTAATGCCTCTGTTTGGGCTGCGTCATTATAGTGTAACCACGGAGATGCAGTCATCCTGAATTAGAGGAGGAAGTGACATCATCAAACATGGACAAGGGCCACATTTTCCCCACAGAGCACTATTATGAGGGAGGGTATGAGAGATGACTCATTGATGTACTCTGTGGACCTGTTCTTCAACTGTTACTCCCAGAATGCACACACACACACACACACACACACACACACACACACACACACACACACACACACACACACACACACACACACACACACACACACTTCCTCTTTAGAATAGGCATCTTTATTGCATTCATTCATTCATTCATTTCATTCTCCCCAGCCCATTGTTTTCTACTTGTTACTACTCATGTCTGTCATTGAAAATAAATCATTTTAATAACCCATGTGCCATGTTAATGGTTTTATTGAATGTATCAAATGTCACGAGGGAGTGTTTAATTTTAGTTTAGACACAACAGTGTAAATTAACAACTGAAAGACTATCAAACATTCAGTATTTTCTTTGTTAATACAACTTCAAGTTTAAGTTTTCATCTTAGACAATGTCCATAGTCCCAGTTCACAAGGCATCTGAGAGAGTTTCTGTAACACCATGATTGAATTATACATCAAAAAGACATTTGTTATAAATCTCACTTGAATAGTTTTATTTTGTTAGTTTGCTTTGAATCAGGAAAGTACCCTGTACACAAACACATGACCATATTTCCTCAGTAGCTCTTCTCATTGCGAAACAGGCCGGTCGTCAATAAGAACTACAAAACACCAACTAATCGCTGAGCCATTTCCTGTTTAAAAAACCTTTGCACATAATGCAAATAGAAAAATAAAAGCCTATTCAGTTTAAGTTTGTTTCCATGGGATAGACGTGTGTCCTCACAAAGGTCAGATTATTCGACAAATACCAGTGAGAGATGTAAAGAGTTGTTCTTAGACTATAAATGAAAAAAATATTCCTTCTCTCTCCAAAATAGTGTATTATGACCAACAAAGGCTCCATCATTCGAAAAATACAGTAAACATCACTCGTCTGGCATCCCACAAAGCACTGGGGTCTTGTGCCGTACTGTAGACACAGCTGTCACCATATTACACATCGATGACATCACATGTCGATGACCTCACACGTTGGTGACCTCAATGCCCGAGTGTTTGTGGATTGGACTCCCCTCTGTCCTGGGCGGAGCTTCGTCACAAGCCTCTCTCGGCAGTGAGCCGTAGCTGCTATGACAACTCAAGTCCCGCCCACTGTGGGCTTTGGGGCTGAACCCTAAAGGAGGCTGGGGGTGGGAGGAGAAGGAAGTCAGGCCCTGTTCAAATACTTTGAAAATGCATCCTTACTTCCTCCCTTTCTTGAAGTCATCACTGAACTGACCTGTTTGGAATGGTGAAAGCTAAATAGTGGAACCTGCTTTCACCTATCCAGTTATGTTAGATCAGTGGTTACTCCAAGGGGAAGGAAACAAACAAGGCTTCAATTAGCTTTCCTATAGAGTAGGCCTATAGCCCAAGGGAGATACGTCTTTACTGTGTAGCCGATATCCTCGCTTCCTCAAGGCTTCAAACTGAGAATATCGGCAACACAGTTATGACGTATCTCCCTTGGGCTATAGGTTTACACTATAGGAAAGCAATTACAAGAGGAACGAAGAGAGACATTCTGGCTTCAAGGCCTTTTTCAACACAAGAAAAACCTGAAAAAAAAACATTGCTACAGGAATGTATTTGATAGTGTCAGTGCACATTGAAGGGATAGTTCAGAGAAATTACATATATAGATATTTGTTCCCTTGCCATGAAAGCTGTCTATGGACAAGGAGCGACTGCAATCCACACTTTGGGTTTGTTAAACTAGCCACGACCAACTAATGCTAATTATTAGCATTGAATTTAGCTGAACTATCCCTTTAATCAACATTCTATTGTTTACATTCAAAAGTGACAGAGTTAACAAAATAGCTAATTTTCGTCCGTAGTCTAGGGGAGTGCCCACCTTGACGGCCCGTCTCCTGAGGGAGCCTTCGTCGTCCGGGTGTGTGTGGCGGCTGGCGGAGCTGGTGGGCCGGCCCAGGGAGGCATGCCGTAAGGGTGTGGGTGGGGAGGCGTGGCGTAGAGGCGTGGGCGGGGTGCTCATTGTCCCCAGCCTATCATGGTCTTGCTGTAGACCTCTTGACCTAGGGTGTCAGTGTCAGGAGGGAGGGGAGGAATGGGTACATTATTGATTGATTAGGTACAGATTATTGATGAGTAGATTCCTTACTGATTATGTAGTTATTTAAGCAGCCGTTCTTAGCCGGAGTGTCTTGCATGTGATGAACCTCTCCATTTTGCACTCTGAATCTGGCCTGACTTGCATCTTTGAAATGGATCGGTGTCCTGCACACGTGATCCCACAAGTCCCCTCTTTAATTAGGTTAAGCAAGGGATGTTGTCTACTCATCCCTATTAGCAATGATAAGCTGTCACATGGTCTCCAGGCCATGTTGTCCACATTGACTCGAGGAGAGATGACATCATCTTCACATGACCTACCTAAGGCCTTCCCTGACAATGAGGCTGCCATTTAATCAACTGCCATTTAAATCTTACAGAGCCTGAGAGGGATGCAGACAGGTGGACTTCCACTCTGTCACTTAACCCAGCCATACTGCAGAGTGGGGATAAACTTAGATAAACAATACATCTTCACCCATACTCTCGCCCTGTCTGTTTCTCTTTTCTTTTCACTTTGATTCTCCCTTAAATTACATCAATTTAATCTGACCACATTTCCCTCATGACTTTGGTCTTAGCTGTATCTGTCCCTCTCTTCCTCTAATTTCTCTCTCCTCTCAAACTCACTTGTTCTCTCTCTCTCTCTCTCTCTCTCTCTCTCTCTCTCTCTCTCTCTCTCCCTCTCTCCCTCTCCCTCTCCCTCCCTCTCTCCCCCTCTCCCTCCCTCACCTGGCCGAGCTGATGAGGACATTCATCTCCTCGGTGAGGTGGCGGCGAATCATGTGCTTGTTGCCGGGGATACCCAATGCCATTGCCATGGAGTCTGTGTTGAAGGAGGGGTCTAGCACCATGACAGCACCATGAACTCCACTGTTCTGGAGACTGTCAGCAAACTCCTATACGGGTTGAGGAGGGAGAGGGACACATGTTCTTTTTTGAAGAGTTCCTAAATGATTAACATACTTTAAAAAAAATGTTTGTAAATAACAGGGTCGTCATTTTAAATAAGAATTTGTTCTTAATTGACTTGCCTGGTTAAATAAGGTTGAATAAAAATAAAATGGAAATTATGTGTACACATTTGTTGTATTCCAGTGGAAGCTTCCAAAGTGAGACAAAAAAAAATAGCTGCGAGAATGCATGCTTTGGATTAATTTAATCCATTCAAACAATGGAGATTTAAAAAAGCATACTAACCCAAAAAGCATTTTCGCTGTGCACGCATGCAGTGTTGTTCTATCTGCCTACAGTAACCCTCAACATTGAAGATTTGATTGAATAGTGGTCTGACTGACAATATTGACTTGGGCTCTTCAGATGAAAACATCTTTGATTTTCATAATCGTTCTGAACAAAATGTAGTTAATATCAATGGAAGGGATATCATAAACAAAAGCTCCTGACTACTATCCATTTATTGAAGCCGTGACTCACTGTGCGGTAACCACAGAGATGACGAGTGGTTCAGAATCGATCACAAAGGTCCTTTCCTTTATCTCTATCCACAGACAGGGATAGTGTCAATAAACCTGCCGCCATTTCCTACACTCCCCCATGCATATAACAACACATAAAAGCTCTCTGTCTATTATCAATAAACACGCTATGATCTATTAGCATGATTTGAATTGGTTTGCAGTATGCACAATTCTGTTTTAATGTATACTTTGCATTGTGTATAGAATGATTCATAACCATTTGTAAGCAAATGTAACCATTTGTAAGCTTTTTTCAGGTTAAATACTGACACCGGTCAGATCTTATCATAAGTGTCAAAGATTGATCAATGAGGACTGAGTGTAAACGTCAGATACCATGTTCTCACAGTACTTGAGTGTGCCAGTGTCATTGGGAGGATAATGACCCCACCTTAAGGTCAATGTCTCGGACCCACTTGACGACACGATGACACGTCCATACCACGGGATCCAGGTTCTGATGCTCACACTGAGCCCGTCTGGCCTGGAGGGCCTGGAGAGGGTTGAGACGCACGCACACGCACGCACGCACACGGACACGCACACGCACACACACACACACACACACACTTAATTTGACATTCAAATTAACTTTACTTTCAACCACAGATCACAGAAACATCCAAAAGTCGATGAGTACATAACACAATGTGTGTATGTTTGTCCGAGTGAATGTATTGTGGCCAACATGCATACACACATACATATCTGTAACATGTATGTCTGTATGTAAGCTTAGGGCACATTTGAACATGTAATATATTGGTAATGTTTATGTATAGTATATACAGCATGGATTGCTGTTTGCACGACACCTACCTCCTTATCGAAGTGGAGCGTGTGCAGCAGCTCGATGCCCAGCACCAGGCTGGCCTGGTGGGCCTTCTTGGTGACATTGAGGGACCTCTCAAGGTCCCGGCGCGTCAGAGAGTTGAGCATGCGCCCATCCACCAGGTGTGTGTGGAAGGCCTGAGAGTACTGCGGCAGCCCTACGTCGCTCAGCCAGGCCTTGGCCACCCAGTGGTGGTCCATGTCTGCAGCCTTGGACAGCCTGGAGTGAGAGGAGAGAAGAAAAGAGAGAAGAAAAGATGAGAAGAGATGAGAGGAGATGGGAAGGGATGAGAAGAGATGGGAAGGGAAGGGATGAGAGGAGATGGGAAGGGATGAGAGGAGATGGGAAGGAATGAGAAGAGATGGGAAGTGATGAGAGGAGATGGGAAGGGATGAGAAGAGATGGGAAGGGATGAGAAGAGATGGGAAGTGATGAGAGGAGATGGGAAGGGATGAGAGGAGATGGGAAGGGATGAGAAGAGATGGGAAGTGATGAGAGGAGATGGGAGGGCATAGGCCCACCCACTGGGGAGCCAGGTCCACCCACCGGGGAGCCGGGCCCAGCCAATCAGAATGAGTTTTTTTTTCCCACAAAAGGGCTTTTTTACAGACAGAAATACTCTTCAGTTTCATCAGCTGTCCGAGTGGTTGGTCTCAGACGATCCCGCAGGTGAAGAAGCCGGAAGTGGAGGTCCTGTGCTGGTGTGGTTACACGTGGTCTGCGGTTGTGAGGCCGGATGGACGTACTGCCAAATTCTCTAAAACGACGTTGGAGGCGGCTTATGGTAGAAAATGAACATTCAATTCTCTGGCAACAGCTCTGGTTGATATTCAAATCAAATCAAATTTTATTTGCCACATGCGCCGAATATAACAGTGAAATATTTACTTACAAGCCCTTAACCAACAATGCAGTTTTTTAAAGAAAAATGTAAAATTAAAAAAGTGTTAAAAAAAACAAACAAAAAAAGCTAATAACTAAACAGCAGCAGTAAAATAAAATAACATTAGGGAGGCTATATACAGGGGGGTACCGGTACAGAGTCAATGTGCGGGGGCACCGGCTAGTCAAGGTAATTGAGGTCATATGTACATGTGGGTAGAGTTAAACGACTATGCATAAATAATAAACAGAGTAGCAGCAGCGTAAAAGAGGGGGATGGGGGGGCAGTGCAAATAGTCCGGGTAGCCATGATTAACTGTTCAGGGAGGTTGATTAGCTGTTCAGGATATTCCTGCAGTCAGCATGCCAATTGGCCACTCCCTCAATTTGATTTTTGTTGTACTTTTACCTCTCCAATTGGTAGTTAACGTCTTGTCCCATTGCTGCAACTCCCCTACGGACTCAGGAGAGGCGAAGGTCGAGAGCCATGCGTCCTCTGAAACACGACCCTGCCAAGCCACACCGCTTCTTGACACGCTGCTCGCTTAACCCGGAAGCTAGCCTCACCAATGTGTCGGAGGAAACACCGTCCAGCTGGCGACCGAAGTCAGATTGCAGGCGCCCAGCCCGCCACAAGGAGTCGCTAGAATGCGATGGGACAAGGAAATCCCGGTTGGCCAAACCTTCCCCTAACCCGGACGACGCTGGGCCAATTGTGCGCCGCCTCATGGGTCTCCCGGTCACGGCCGGCTGTGACACAGCCCGGGTATGTAGTGACGCCTCAAGCACTGCGATGCAGTGCCTTAGACCGCTGCACCACTCGGGAGGCCCCACTCCCTCAAATCTTGAGACATCTGTGGCATAGTGTTGTGTGACAAAACTTCACATTTTAAAGTGACCTTTTATTGACCCTAGCACAAGGTGCACCTGTGTAATGAGCATGCTGTTTAATCAACTTCTTGATATGCCACACCTGTCAGGTGGATGGATTATCTTGGCAAAGGAGAAATGCTCACTAACAGGGATGTAAACAAATGTGTGCACAACAGTTTAGCAAAATAAGCTTTTTGTGCAATTCTGGAACACTTTACATGTTGCGTTTATATTTTCGTTCAGTATAGTATTCTGGTTGAAGCGACAACAGATTACCAGGTGAGGACATTTGTTTCTGGTCACTAAGGAGACGTCTACAAACTTCAATTTACAATCAGTATACTACCTGACCATGAAAACAATACAAACGTCAGCCTAACGTGATTGCAATCAGTTTTGCTCTCTGGGGTGTAAAGAGTATATCCTCCATGTTGGACCTATATTCCCAGACAGTGGTGTTGGGGTCAGTTCATTCCAATTCCAGTCACTCCAGGGGTTGAATTGAATTCCTATGGGGAAATCCATGTCCAATTCAACATACAGGAGCTAGCCTGGAATTGACCCCAACTCTCCTTGAAAGTAATAACATTCTAATTCACATTCTGGTGTTAACTGCGTTGGAACGCTTGGTGGCAACGGCTCGAATTCAAAATCTGTGTTTGCCAAACCCTGTATATCTCTAGCTCTGATTAACATTTAACCTTGTTTACACTAGTGTGCCTGTCACATATGGTGTTATGCAGTTTGTTAGAATAGTGTTATTCATGTTTGACCATCTAACATTAGATGTAGCAAACAGCTACTGTATATTTGTGAAGTAGTAGAGTAAACCTTCAACTGCTGATCCAGGGTCAAAAATTATTTTACCCTCCCAATGTTTAAGGTTAGGATTTGGGGTTGGGTAATCTGATGCTAGAGCTGTTTTTTGTGTGAGAGGGAGTATGAGGAGCTGAGCATCTCACCCCCTGCCGCTCTCGGCGTCCCTGTAGTCCTCGATGGCCAGCCGGAGCTTCCTGCGGTGCATAGAGCTGGTTACCCCTAACCCCAGCTCCAGGTCCTCATCTGACAGGCCTAGCAGCACCTGCAAAGGGGCCAAAGGTCAAACCACATTCTATTGGACCTGTAGTGGATTTCCAGATTGTGATTTCACAAGTACCTTTGATTTACGCAGCAGCATGTACCGTATGGGTGGAGTTCCCTTGACGTGACCTATTCAGTTTTGAGAGCAAACCTGGCTGAGAAGTCTCCAGGCTCCAGCGCACGCAACCAATCAGTCAATTTCTGTAGCAAATGTCAACTCCCTCCACCGTCAGGACATGCTAATGTGAAAATCAAATGAATCCACCTCTGAAAGAGATATCCGGAAAGCCACATGGGTTTGATTGAATACTGGCCTAAGTCTTCCTACAGTTTGACGTCATCTCGGGTCATACCTTGCCACTCTTCACATTCTCTGAGCAGGCGCGAATATACATGGGCATCGCCATGACGACCTCCAGCCAGGCCTGCACGGTGCCCGCCCTCCACAGCGACATGGGCATGCCACGGGCAAGCTCCACCTGCTGGAGGCGGTCCAGCTGATCCTCCCCGTCCGAAAGGCTGAGACTGAGGCGAGTGGGGCTTGAGAGACTGTCTGAGTCTGGATAGGTGGGCGAGGGGGAGTGGGAGGAGAAATATGAGCAGGGTGATTTTGGAAGGTGAGAGAGTGGTAGTAGGGGGGCAGTGGGTTTTCTATAAGAACAGACAAGGATCATAGTAACCAAAAGGAGACTGAGAGCCATGCTCTACTGTTTGGCTGCAGTTTATGAGACAGAACTTTGGAATGATATAACACACTTTGGCTACTTGACAGCTCCAAGCCAATAGCTTGCCAAGGCTCAAAACAGTTTGTAAACAAACTATTTGCAGTTTCAAACAAATGTATGAAGTATTTACAAAGTCCATGCAAATAGTAGCTGTTAAACACTGTTTGGCCATTACGTTAAAGCTGTTAAACACCACTTGGCCATTATGCCTCATCTGTCAATATTAGCCAGCAAGACCAGCTCCTTGACAACAGAGAGGAGCAAACCTGCAGCGTAATAACAATATAGTATTGTACTTTGTAGGAGTGCAGTCTCCCTCAGAAGCATTATCCTCTTTGCCTTGTTAGTGAATACGCCAGCAGGTGGCGGTCTAAGGCTTCTTTGGCATGAACTTCTACTGTATAAACTAATGGTATCGTCCCTCAGTGCAAAAAGGTATTATCGTTAAAATATGTACAACATACAGTGGGGAAAAAAAGTATTTAGTCAGCCACCAATTGTGCAAGTTCTCCCACTTAAAAAGATGAGAGAGGCCTGTAATTTTCATCATAGGTACACGTCAACTATGACAGACAAATAGAAAAAAAAAATCCAGAAAATCACATTGTAGGATTTTTAATGAATTTATTTGCAAATTATGGTGGAAAATAAGTATTTGGTCACCTACAAACAAGCAAGATTTCTGGCTCTCACAGACCTGTAACTTCTTCATTAAGAGGCTCCTCTGTCCTCCACTCGTTACCTGTATTAATGGCACCTGTTTGAACTTGTTATCAGTATAAAATACACCTGTCCACAACCTCAAACAGTCACACTCCAAACTCCACTATGGCCAAGACCAAAGAGCTGTCAAAGGACACCAGAAACAAAATTGTAGACATGCACCAGGCTGGGAAGACTGAATCTGCAATAGGTAAGTAGCTTGGTTTGAAGAAATCAACTGTGGGAGCAATTATTAAGAAATGGAAGACATACAAGACCACTGATAATCTCCCTCGATCTGGGGCTCCACGCAAGATCTCACCCCGTGGGGTCAAAATGATCACAAGAACGGTGAGCAAAAATCCCAGAACCACACGGGGGGACCTAGTGAATGACCTGCAGAGAGCTGGGACCAAAGTAACAAAGCCTACCATCAGTAACACACTACGCCGCCAGGGACTCAAATCCTGCAGTGCCAGACGTGTCCCCCTGCTTAAGCCAGTACATGTCCAGGCCCGTCTGAAGTTTGCTAGAGTGCATTTGGATGATCCAGAAGAGGATTGGGAGAATGTCATATGGTCAGATGAAACCAAAATATAACTTTTTGGTAAAAACTCAACTCGTCGTGTTTGGAGGACAAAGAATGCTGAGTTGCATCCAAAGAACACCATACCTACTGTGAAGCATGGGGGTGGAAACATCATGGTTTGGGGCTGTTTTTCTGCAAAGGGACCAGGACGACTGATCCGTGTAAAGGAAAGAATGAATGGGGCCATGTATCGTGAGATTTTGAGTGAAAACCTCCTTCCATCAGCAAGGGCATTGAAGATGAAACGTGGCTGGGTCTTTCAGCATGACAATGATCCCAAACACACCGCCCGGGCAACGAAGGAGTGGCTTCGTAAGAAGCATTTCAAGGTCCTGGAGTGGCCTAGCCAGTTTCCAGATCTCAACCCCATAGAAAATCTTTGGAGGGAGTTGAAAGTCCGTATTGCCCAGCGACGGCCCCAAAACATCATTGCTCTAGAGGAGATCTGCATGGAGGAATGGGCCAAAATACCAGCAACAGTGTGTGAAAACCTTGTGAAGACTTACAGAAAACGTTTGACCTGTGTCATTGCCAACAAAGGGTATATAACAAAGTATTGAGAAACTTTTGTTATTGACCAAATACTTATTTTCCACCATAATTTGCAAATAAATTCATTAAAAATCCTACAATGTGATTTTCTGGATTTTTTAATTTTATTTTGTCTGTCATAGTTGACGTGTACCTGTGATGAAAATTACAGGCCTCTCTCATCTTTTTAAGTAGGAGAACTTGCAGAATTGGTGGCTGACTAAATACTTTTTCCCCCCCACTGTATTAGGTCATTTATTCAGTAGCAATAATCACATAACTCATCAGAAATACCAGGGTTATGTAGTCCTTATAATTGAAATAAGAATTACATGCATGATTATCATTTCAAGGTTTTTGTCATTCAGGCTTATACTGTAGCAGATGATCAACTATTATCTCTTTCCTATCAGATTCATATAGCTTTTTTCAATCACCCACCCAACGACAATGCCGTAAGCTGTCTTCAGTCCTGCTAGAAAATTGCTGGCATTTCTTTTTCTGGCACCAAATGAATAATGACTTATAATTACATTATGGATAAGAGCCTAGTCATATCCCAAGGTAAGGACACAGAAGAATGGAGGAATTGTCCTGCTAGCTTCTTGAAAGGGCCTCCACTCTCAATGGCTGCTTTGTGTTTACACTTGGTTGCATAATAAAGATGCTAAAAACATTGAAACACAACCAAACTGCTAATAGGTCAGTAAAAGTTCAAGATTGACATTGCCACTGTCTAGCAGACACTTTCTGTATCCCCTCCGCGATAGCATGTACTGTTGCTGAAACAACCTAATAATTGGCTGCGAGCTAGAGTAACGCACAAATTTGAGCAGACTTTCTGTTTAGGTGCGTGTTTAGAATACCCTATACAGTGGTGTGAAAAAGTGTTTGCCCCCTTCCTGATTTCTTATTTGTTTGCATGTTTGTCACACTTAAATGTTTAAGATCATCAAACAAATTTAAATATGAGTCAAAGATAACACAAGTAAACACAAAATGCAGTTTTGAAATTAAGGTTGCTATTATTAAGGGAAAACTAAATCCAAACCCACATGTTCCTGTGTGAAAAAGTGATTTCCCCCTACAACCTAATAACTGGTTGGGCCACCCTTAGCAGCAACTACTGCAGTCAGGCGTTTGCGATGATTTGCAATGAGTCTTTTACAGCGCTGTGGAGGAATTTTGGCCCACTCATCTTTGCAGAATTTTTGTAATTCAGCCACATTGGAGGGTTTTCGAGCATGAACTGCATTTTTAAAGGTCATGCCACAGCATCTCAATATGATTCAGGTCAGGACTTTGACTAGGCCACTCCAAAGTCTTCATTTAGTTTTTCTTCAGCCATTCAGAGGTGGACTTGCTGGTGTGTTTTGGATCATTGTCCTGCTGCAGAACCCAAGTTCGCTTCAGCTTGAGGTAACGAACAGATGGCCGGACATTCTCCTTCAGGATTTTTTTGGTAGACAGCAGAATTCATGGTTCCATTTATCACAGCAAGTCTTCCAGGTCCTGAAGCAGCAAAACAGGCCCAGACCATCACACTACCACCACCATATTTTACTGTTGGTATGATCTTCTTTTTCTGAAATGCGGTGTTACTTTTACGCCAGATGTAATGGGACACACACCTTCCAAAAAGTTCAACTTTTGTCTCGTCAGTCCACAGAGTATTTTCCCAAAGGTTTTGGGGATCATCAAGATGTTTTCTGGCAAAAATGAGACGAGCCTTAATGTTATTTTTGCTCAGCAGTGGTTTTCGTCTTGGAACTCTGCCATGCAGGCCATTTTTGCCCAGTCTCTTTCTTATGGTGGAGTCATGAACACTGACCTTAACTGAGGCAAGTGAGGCCTGCAGCTCTTTGGATGTTGTTGTGGGGTCTTTTGTGACCTCTTGGATGAGTCGTCGCTGCGCTCTTGGGGTAATTTTCGTCGGCCGGCCACTCCTGGGAAGGTTCACCACTGTTCCATGTTTTCGCCATTTGTGGATAATGGCTCTCACTGTGGTTCGCTGGAGTCCCAAAGCTTTAGAAATGGCTTTATAACCTTTTCCAGACTGATGGATCTCAAATACTTTCTTTCTCATTTGTTCCTGAATTTCTTTGGATCTCGGCATGATGTCTAGCTTTTGAGGATCTTTTGGTCTACTTCACTTCGTCAGGCAGGTCCTATTTAAGTGATTCCTTGATTGAGAACAGGTGTGGCAGTAATCAGGCCTGGGTGTGGCTAGAGGAATTGAACTCAGGTGTGATAAACCACAGTTGAGTTGTGTTATAACAGGGGGGACAAACACTTTTTAACACAGGGCCATGTAGGTTTGGATATTGTTTTCCCTTAATAATAACAACCTTAATTTCAAAACTACATTTTGTGTTTACTTGTGTTATCTTTGACAAATATTTAAATTTGTTTGATGATCTGAAACATTTAAGTGTGACAAACATGCAAACAAATAACAAATCAGGAAGGGGGCAAACACTTTTTCACACCACTGTATATAACCTTTTCACACAACTGAGCTAAACCAAGCCATGCCAAACTGAGCTTTACTGCACTTGTCTGGTTACACAGACTATAGTTGCTGGAAAGGGCAATGTGAAAACAAAATATCAGAGCCAGCACTGAATGGTTCGGTCGGCACGATGGTGTGAAAAGATTATTTAAGTGGAGCAGTTGTGTGAGGTACCTCTGGGACCCTCCCACACAGTCCAGATGGCTGCTTCAGTTTAACCAACATGGGAGGGAGCCAAGAAGGGCACCACAAATTCAAAACAACCAGCCTCCACTGTCCAACAGCCATTTGAAGAGCGACCCGTTGCCATGGAGGCGGGCCAGTCTGTCTGCGTTGGGAGCAGTTTGTGCGTGACACTGTGAAAATGTTTCATCACACCCTGCTCAACACTCACTCAGTGTTTTGAAACATTAATACCAAAGGTGATGCACCTGGATTTATGCATTGATTTGATATGCTGTACTATAAACAGATTAATAACAGTCATTGTCCTCAAAAAATGTAAACAAGAGTCTCACTTGTGAAAGTGTCTACAAGTGTCGACAACCCCTATTAATGAATATGAAAGCTAAGGGCTACTTATAAAACAGA